ACAGGAGAGGTCTGCTGTGCCATATAGGTTAACTCCCTGACTCCCTGGCTGGGGATCAACTTCAGGCCGCATCAGCAGCTGCTGATAGCTTGATAGTGCTGAGACTTTAACCCCTGAGCCATCAGGGAGGCCCCCTGATGCTGCACTCTTGTGGGGAGAATCCATTTCTTCTCAGAGGTTCCTTGATGGATCCTTCTCGCAAAGAGTTCACTGGATTCTTTGCTGAATTATTCTCTGTGACACTTTTCCTTATGGATCCCTTCAGCTACCATATTAGGCGAAATTCAAAACAACCACACATTGGCTTTCTCCACTGGAGAATCCAAATCCAATCCCTAAGAAACAAACATCTAATACCCAGATAAAGATTGGAAAAGCAGGCCAATTCTCAAGCATCAAATGCTCATCTTGCCACTCACCGAGCTGGCCAGGTTTTGTCTAACCCTCCTTACGTCCTAGGGTGAGTCAGACTCCTCTGCATGAGCACTTTAAATTCCTGAGACTTGACTCAGGCATCAAACTGCTGTTATTCCAACTGGAGGAGACACGATTCAGAATTCTCTGGCTGGTTTTGTTAACGACCATGGTAGGGTAAGGAAAAAGTATCAGGCTTTTCTGCCCTGCCGCCAAGGAGGGGCATCTATAGGATAGATGAGGGAACCCTGTGGTCCTGAATGCATGCCTGATGGCGGCACCTGAAGTGGGTACACCTGGGCTGAGAGACTGAGTTCATAAGGGCGGCGTCACGGGGACGCCAGTAGAAGCCAAGGACGAACGGAAGCTGAGAGAAGAGACCCCCAGAGAATACCAGAGAGCCCAGATAGAGTGAGGATTTGCTGGGGGCTGGGAGGACTGCCAGCCTCCCGCCCCCCAGAACCCCTGCCTGCCATATGCCTGGTAAATCTAAATAAAAGACCTTCAAAAGCCACTGAGGACTCGGACTTCTCCTTTACCCGGTCTGCTGGATCAGAAAACCTGCTCAGTGTCATTCCTGCCCCTACAACCGTTCATGGCCTGAGGTAGGAATAGTCACCACTCTTTCTCCTGGGGTGTGGTAACAGCTCTTGCCTAGCCACAGATCTCTCCAAAAATTTTCTTTTCTTTAATCGCCTATCACCTCATATATTCAAAAGCCATGGAAAAACTGGTCTTTGAAGGATATATTTACAGATCCCCTGTGAAAACTGAGACAAAAGGCCTACACTAGCATCCTGCTCCCTATATTCTTCAGGTATACGTGTGTGTATATGATTGTTATGTATACAAAATTCCTACAATAACTTAAACCAGGGTCTCCCTGGTGGCACAAGGGTTTAAGCACAGCACTATGAAGAAATCCACAGCCTCTGAACCACGAGATCGATCCCCAGGTGGCCAGGGAGATACCCATATGGCGAGGCAGACCTCTCCTGTCTTGCCCACTGCTCCCCTCAGCCGTGTATTTCTGTCAGTCTGCCTGTTCTATTCCCCACTCTATCTCTGATGAATCCTCTCACCCCCCACACCTCTGGCCTGTACCCCAGTTCTTGCATGCATAAATAAATAAATCTTTAAATAAAGAGTGACATAAGAGCCTTAGCATTAGCACTGCTAATTCAACAATAATCTCCAGGTGTCACTGATTGCTGCTGATTTGGTTAGGGGCCATCGTTAACAAAGACTTTACACCCAACAACTTTCCTACAAAGTTTTCCAATTCATACAGTCCCAGATTAGAATAAATAAAACCTATTTGAAATATGCAGACTTAAAATAGCCTTCCAACATATTCCTCACACACTAAATTACTCCCAAATTACTAGCTATTGGAAACATTCCTGATAGTGCCCTAGATTTTTCAACTTCTGCAAGAGCCCAGATGGTCAGAAAGAAATTTACCAAATTTGGATCTTTGTTTTTAATGAAATGATTTTAAATAATCTTTTAACAATTGGCTCTAGAGTTGCATTTAAAGAAAACTACTTACCACTATTTGCAACTAAGAAAATAGATAATAACCAAAATAAACTACTAAATTTCTAATGCTTATTACCTAAATTGAAAAAGAAATAAGGTCAAAGTAAAAATTTTATATATTTATATGTATGTATATATAACACATACACACATTAATCACAAAGTAAGAAAAGAGGTATTAAAGTCACTTCTGCTCATGTTCATCTGAGAAAGTTAATTGCCCAAATTAAAAAAACATAATTCTCTAATATTCAGACATATCATCAGTCTTTATCTTGGACTGCTGAAAAATAAAACATTTTAGATCCATTCACAATAAAATATAAGACACTTTCAGATTCAGTTCCATGCAAGATTTTTTCTTCTATGTCCAAGGATTTTCAATGACTAGATTAATCTACCAAAAAGTACATTTTAAAGATTCGCTAAGGGAATTTTACAAAAATGAGAATTCTAATTATCTCTTTGTGAGAATTTGGGGGCAATGAAAGCAGGAAAAATGGTCAATTTTTCAAAACAAAGAATCTCATCAATGATCTCAGAAGGCTGAGGGGTAACATTATGTAATTATTCACATTAATTAAAGGTATAAGGGTAAAGGTGAAAAAATATAAAATAACTGATTATTTCATTTTCTTTGCCTGCTCTTAATTCAAATCAGAATACTTTTCTCCCTGCCTTACTCCAAATAATTTACCAGAAAAAAGAATAGAAATTTGTATTATTTAAATAATTCAGGGCACATATAGCAAAAACTGCAAAGTTACAATTCAACAATTATGATGATGTAGTTTACTTTTAAAATAGCTCAGAATTATACATACTCACAAAGTGATCTTAGTTACAGCAAGATCTCCTTGTTTAATGCAATACAATTTTCCCTAACAGCTTCCTTCTGCCATCTCACATCTTTCTTTCATAACCCAACATGGCCCTCCAGAGAAATCTCCCTCCAGCAACGAACACCCAGGAAAATATACCCCTGTGGAAAGGCATGTAAAAGAGTCCACTGTCGTTCCTTTCTGCAGAATGAGACAGAAAATATTCCTTTCAGGGTAGTAATCCAACACCTGAAAGCTTTTAATCTCTATAGCAGGTAATGTAATTTGTTTTTAGTAAAGATAAAAGTTAAAAGCAACACAAACAAGGAACAATAACAATTCAAAGGCTAGAATTTTCTCCAAACTCAAGAGTCTTTAGATATAAACTCCTTAAAAGAGGAAGATTTTGGGCCTCCATGGTGGCACAAGGGGTTAAGATGCAAGCTATGAAGCAATCCACAGCCTCTGCAGCACGAGTTCAATCCCCAGCCGGCCAAGGAGCAACCCACCTGGCACAGCAGTCCTCTCCTGACTCGCCCGCTGCTCTTCTCAGCAGTGTATTTCAGTCTGCCTGTTCTGTTCCCCTCTCTGTCTCTGGTGAATCCTCTCACCCCACATCTCTGGCCTGTACCCCAGCTCTTGCATTTATAAATAAGTAAATCTTAAAAAAAAAAAAAAAAAAAAAAGAGGAAGGCTTAAAAATGAGGGAATCACATTGCAAGTGAGGGAAGTGAGATGACCTAAGATCTTCCATAAGGACGGAAACTAGACTCCTACACCTCCAGCCCCTGAGATAAAGTTTCTTTATACAAATTCACTTTTTCCTCTGCTCTGTTCTTCTGCCCCTTGATTTCTGACAATCATTCAAAGTCTCACTTAAAATATCCCTGACTGAAAATAACAGCGGCTTGCCAAAGAAAGAAAAATTTTGAGATATAGGTTCTAATTAACTGCCTGCGATTGGTGGATAATTCAGCTCTTCCAGAAACTGATTCCAGCAGTATGTTATTTATTTATATCCAACCCTTGTTCCAAAAATAACTTGATATGTTTTACAGAAATATGTAGCACGCAAACAGCCAAAAATAAATACAATGGGGAAATTACTGCAAAAGAGAGGGAAAGGATAGGAACATTTAGCCTATTAAAATTGCACATGGTAGGATCTCATGGAAAGGGCAAGGAAGTATCAAAATTCCAAAAGGAATCTTCTGGAGAAAGTGTCACATATCAAGAAAGTTACTTCTATAATGTGACTTAACAGCAGCTATTAGTAAAACAGTAATAGTGACCCATGAGAAACACTATGAAGTGAAAGGAACTGTTCACAAAGTTTTCTTTATAAAGTCTTAAAATGCTGGTCTTGAATTTTTTTTTTTTTAAGATTTTATTTATTTATTTATACAAGCACTGGGTACAGTCAGAAGCGCAGGAGGGTGAGAGAATTCACCAGAGCCAGAGCGGGGAGCAGAGCAGGCAGAAGGACCGAAGTACACTGCTGAGGGGAGCAGCGGGCGGCAGGAGAGGTCTGCGCGCCATGTGGGACCCTCCTCCAGTGGCCAGGGAGAAGCCAGGGATCGAACCGGCGCTTTAGAGGCTGCGGGCAGCTTCACAACCCAGCGCTCAACCGCTGCGCCACCGGGGAGGCCCTGATCTTGAATTTCTGAAGCAAGTCACTCCTAAATTGGCAAGGTTGGGAAAGAGAAATAAATAGAGGTGAGAGGAAAAGGTAGAGAGAGTAGCAGAATCATGGGTGGCCTACAGAACCCAGACAGGCTGATGCCAAGCTAGCTATCATTTGTTGAAGAATTGAATATTTTTTATTATGTAATTGCAGGCTCAAATTCATACATCACCAGGGTTCAACTATACTTTTGTTATGTTATAATGCAATATAGTGTAAATCAGTTGGCTCAGGTTTTTAAATTAGAGCCCAATTACCTGTATAAGGGAATCATAAATCCAACTTGTATTTTTCTAACAGGGTTAACAACTCATAATGCCAGCTTAAACTTGGGAAAATCAATTTTCTGAGTTTAAGTACAAGGGCACATGGTATTTCATCACCGTGGTTTAGTGTGCCAGATCAAAAGCCTGGGGTTAGCAGGGAGCAGTGTTGAGGGGGTGCGAGGGGGAGGGTCAAAGCCTAAAGCAAAACAAACAACAGTAAATGTGCTCAAAACACCAACTATCTGCCATGTAAATCAGAGCAGAAGCACTTACGTGTGACGGGCAGTCAGAATCTGGACCCTGCTCTGGTGAAGGAATAAAGTAAGAACACTTCCTCTGCTTTGCTTCTTCAGCAGAAGTCCCCTCGGGGCTAAAAATGTGAGATGAAATGCAATATAAGAGAAAAGCTGACCAAAACCAAACCTTCCTGAGTGGTTACACCTGCAACACAGATTCCGTTTTTGGCAGTTTGTTGACCTTCTGTGCAATTGGAAACACCTGAGGGAACATTCAGAGACGAGCAGGATGTGGGGGGATAAAGCTGTGCCAATGCGGGCGGAAGTATAAACAGGTTCACCTTTATGGAGCACAGGGCATCTGTGTGTGCATATACTCACACATTTTTGAAATTCTATTTTCAGAAAAATCTGCTTAAGAAATCATTGGACAAGGGCGCATAAATATACCTATGGGGGGAGGGGCCTTCCCCCGGTGGCGCAGTGGTTGAGCGCTGGGCTGCGAAGCTGCCCGCAGCCTCCACAGTGCCAGTTCGATCCCAGGCCCCGGCGAGGGTCCCAGATGGCACGCAGACTTCCCCTGCCAGCCTGTTGCCCCCCTCAACAGTGTATCCTGGTCCATCTGCCTGTTCTGTTCCCAGCTCTGGCTCTGGTGATTTCTCTCACACTCCCGCGCTTCTGACTGTACCCAGTGCTTGTATAAATAAATAAATAAATCGTAAAAAAAAAAAAATATATATATATACCTATGAGTTGTCTGGTACAGTTTTACTTCTAAGAGCCAGAGCTGGAAGCAAACAAAGTCCGTCAAAAGAGATGACTTTAAGTATTTTACCCATACAGAGTAAAGCTATGCTGGAATTAGAGAGATTGATGTAAAATTTTATTAATACAACACATTGTAAAATAAAACAAAACAATATTATTAGTGTGTGTGTGTTTGTGGTGTGTGTGTGTGTGTGTGTGTGTGTGTTTAAGCAGACACAACTGAAGAAAAAAATCTGGGCGATAATACTCTGATAATAATCAAGACTTTCTGAATGATAAATGATATTTACTTTTTAAAAAAGTTTTTTATGGAGTTAGAGCATTGAACTTAAGTTTTATAAAATAGGCAGTCATTCCTTTTATAATCTGAAAAACACTATAGTAGTTGCTGTTTTGAATCTCTTTTAAAGTAGAAAAGATAGGAGGGAGAATAGCAATATATAGGAAAAAAACAGAAGCTCACCAAAGTCACCAGGTTTTACTGCGCAAAGCACTAACCCCTGTCTGAAACAACTTCTGTTTTTACATAAAAGTCCACTGATTTTATTGAGGAGGGAGAACAAATGCACCAAAATTAATCACCTTATATTCTTTATATTCTGTATCAAAGAATTCAGCTTATTTGATGCTTCTAATAAAAATTATCCCTTCAAAACCTAAAATACAGCTAGAAAGCTCAGAAACTGCCTTCTACACTGGGCACAGAGGTGCCTCTGGTTTTTCCTCTTTCAAAAGGACATGTAAAACTGTCACTTCAAAAAGTCAATGTTCTCTTTTAAAAGAACAGAAATGGCCAAAGTAATTCACTAATTACAACACATGCTTCTCTCTGAGTTATTTTTTAAGTTTCATCGAGTCTGTGCCAGAGTAAGATATCTGTAAGGTCAGAGCAAAAGATCTCGAAGGTCCTGAGCATCAATTCAATACCCTTAATTTTGATAAGAGAAAAGTCACTAAGCACAGCAGCTGAGACCGAAACTCAGAGTCTATCTCTTAATCTACTGTTTCTTGCTTTGTCCCTCATTCCATTCCAAGCTGCAACTGTAGTTCCCCTTTCTAGACACTCTGAGAATGTTTTCTTAGCTAATGTGACATAAATCAGATTTGGAATCAGGTTTGAGATAGAGATAGAACCACAGCGAGAAAAAGCAGCAAATCTAACATAATATACCAGTTAGCTTTTCCCAATGCATCTGAGAAATAAATGCAAACACTTGAAACACTACTGTAGACAGTCTACTTTTGTTTCTATGAAGGAAAGGTAAAAAGTTCAGGGAGAAAAGTCACATGGGTCGTTTGATAACATTTTTAAATGTTTACTTTCAGAAGCACATAATTTAAAGTGGTTTTCCTTTTTTTCCATAAACCCCAGGCATATGTACTCTAAGGCCAATGAAAAATGCAACAAAACAATCAGAAATTAATAATCAGAAAAAGAAAACATCTCATACAATTAAAACAGTGTGAGGCAACCATACTGGTTAAAACTTGAATATAGTTCCTTCTAGCTTCCTTCCCTTTTGAATGGCTGAGATCTTAATACATATACCATTCATGATTTTCTTTTCACTTAAATTACACCCGAACATTTATTTTTAATGAGCCCAAGCAGTTCATTAAAAACTATTTATATAATTCATTTAAGTGTATGGATGTGTCAAATTTTAATTTAACATTTTTCTTTATGCATGTCATTTAGGGTTTTTCTATTATAAATGATGCTATGATGAACATTTTGAAAACTAAACTCTGATCTTAATTATTATTTTGTTAACTTCAATTACAAAAATGGCAATCACTAAATATCAAATATTAAGTATTTTAATTTACTTGAAAGTTTGTACCAAATTTGTTATTCCTAACAAAGTATGTAAAAGTACCCAACTAATAGTGCTCTTTCAGTAATTACTATATTTTAAGATATTTGTTAGTTGTATAGGTGATATCGATACCTCTATATTTTAATTTAAATCTCTATCAATGTAAAATATTGTATATTCATTAAACACCATAGTAGTTCTCCTTTTTTAAGATTTATTTATTTATTTATACAAGAACTGGGGTACAGGCCAGAGGCACGGAAGGGTGAGAGAATTCACCAGAGACAGAGCAGGGAACAGAGCAGGCAGAACGATGAAAAACACTGCTGAGGGGAGCAGCAGGCGAGACAGTAGGGGTCTGCCGCACCATGGAATCGAACATGCCAGGAATCGAACCTGCTCTGCAGAGGCCTCAGACAGCTTTACAGCACTGCGCTCAACCCGCTGTGCCACCAGGTGAGGTCTTCCTTTGGCACATTTAGTCTTGAGGTCTTTGCTCATTTAACTACTGAGGAAGCTGGGAAATATTTTGATTGAAGACATCCAATCATGTTTTCTCCAAAAAATAAAATGAATATAGAACTTTTAATCAAGTCAGTAACATTTCTGAACTTATAAAAAACTTAAGAAAACAGAGATTCCTGGCATGATCAATTGAAATATATAAAGAAAATAGCAAAATATACCTTTTCACCAAGTGTATTTTGTATGAACTCCCACTAGTTAATGAAATGCCTGTGCAACTTCCTGTAACTGCTGATTCCAAATTTTGGGCTAACAAACTATTGAAAATGAAATAAAAACCTACATGGTATACTTGTAGCAGATTGCATATGAAAATTTCAAACACTCTTTTTAAAATGAGTGTATTCTGGTTCATACTGGTGGATTGAACAAGCTCATTTTTCTTCTTTTCCCACCCCATGTACTTTCTAAATGATGCTAAGGAAACTCAAAGGGGTAACCACAAGAGAAAGGGAAGAAGCTGTTAAAAGCTGAGTCACCTCACTAAAACTCTGTTGTCTTGTGAACCCCAGCAAAGGAAACAACAGACTAAACAGGGGTTGCAGCAAAGGTGAAAACAGACTGGCCTGACAGTACCCCAGGAAAAACTTAGGTCTCAGAAATAGCAGGTATGGAGAGTCTGAAAAGATGGACATTAATTACAGGTCAGTGTATATATTATTGACTGTCCCCCTTCCTGGCTCTCCATGTGAACTGTCCTGAAACCAAGCATTATGTTGAAGACAATAAAAACGAGCTTTGGGAGAACTAGGGCAATGTTGATGGGTATTTAAACTTTTACTCTGTCAAGTTGAGATCCTCTCAAAGTGCATACACTCTAAACATTGACCCTTCAATTAGGTCATTTACAAGACCTTCTAATGATTTTTTCTTAAAGGCAAAACTGTAGGTCACCAGAAATCTAACAAGCCAAGAAAGATCACCACAAAAGTGAAAATAACCCAGCAAAACAACAGAAAACATAGAGAAGATACAAACTTTAAAATAATAATCAAAAATCTTCAAAAATGATGTTAGGGTCTGTCTGGTGGCATAAGAGGTACGTCTCAGCCCTATCACGCTATCACCATTGCTGCCTGAGCTCGATCCTGGCCAGGAAGCTGACCCACATATGGCACAGCAGACCTCTCCTGTCTCATGTGCTGCTCCCGTCTAGCAGCGTATTTCAGTAGATCTGCCTGTTCTGCTCCCCACTCTGTCTCTGATGAATCCTCTCACCTATCACACTTCTGGCCTACACCTCAGTTCTTCTATGCATAAATAAATAAAAAAATCTTTTAAAAATGATTTGAGATTGGGTAACTACCAAAAAAACAAATATTTAAAAACAATAATCAGGTAATAAGAAAGATTTGTTGGGAATTATGATTGCTTGAGGAAAAAAATCAATAGAAAGTTTGATGGTAAAGTTGGAAAAATCTGCAACAGTATATACTAAAAACACAATAAGTGAGAAAAATAAGATATAGATGATTAATGCAAGAAACCTAAATGTAGACTAATATGAGTTTTAGCATGAGAAAAAAGAAATTGGAGTGCAGGGAATTATCAAAGAAATTACATTAGACAATTTCCCAGAGCTAAACATAAATCTTCAAAGTATATGAAATCTACCCAATGCTAAGGAGAATGAACCATGAAGTGTTAAAGAATGGAGGTTTAAAGAGAAACTTCTAATAACCTTCTAAAAAGATAAAAGAAAAAGTAATCTAGAATAAAAGTAACAATCAGAGTAATGTCATATTTATCAGCAGCAATGCTAGGTGCTAAATAACAGAAGTGAAAATGATTTTCAATACAAAAATCTATATCTGAATTATTAATCAGGTCTGAGGTCAAAATGAAAAATTATAAACTTTCAAGGACTCAGAAAGTTTAGCTCCCATTCACCATTTCTTAGAAAGCGACTACCAAAATGTGAAGAAAGTCAAAAAGAGAAAGTGCATGGGATCCAGTAAACAGAATTATACTGTGGAGAGCAATGAATGAACCTCAGGATAATTCTATTCAGCAGTTCTAAA